AGAATGGGCAATGTGGAAGTCCCTGAACAGACTCAGAAGTGGAGTGAGCAGATAAAAAGATGACCTCACAACCTCTGAGGATGCCTGCCATAGATGTAGGCGAAATGTCAGGAGAGAATGCTTCTGGAACATGACCATAAAGCCTGAAAAACTTACATCAACCCAGTGATTTCGGCCATGAAAGCCTTCGACAATATATAGTAAGAATAGTCATAAGAATTGCTTGTGGATGCAAGTGGATACTGTATGGCTGTCCTCAGGCAAAGGAGAAGGTGACAAATGCAAGATACTCAGGCAGAAACAAAGATACAGAATGGGGGATGCGTGGCTCGAGAGCAGTACATGTGAAAAAAATCTTGGAGTCCTCCTGGATAACAAGTTAAACACGAGGCAGCAATGTGATTCAGCAGCAAAAAAAGCCAACGAAATTTTGGCCTACATTAATAGGAGTATATTGAGAAAAAAAGCGCCACTCTGGGCCAGAGTGAAGGGGGGGGGGGGTAGGGGACAGTTCCATCTTGTCTCCTGCATATGTCATCAGTTGGGGACCCCTCCCCTCAGCACCAAGTGTTGCACTGGGCCAGAGTGAAGAGAGAGGGGGCTAGGGGACAGTTCCATCTTGTCTCCTGTGCTATGCTAATAATATAACATAATGTAATATAATATATTGTATATACACATAAAATTTATAACATTATAATGTAATACAATATACTAGTAATAATAATATGATGTTATAAATATATATATTATACTACATGTAATATCACTAATAATATTACAATATAATGGTATAATACACTATAGTAATATATAATACTAATATTGTACGATGCTAATAATATATTGTATGCATATATATTTTGTAATCCACTCTGAGTCCCCTTCAGGGTGAGAAGGGCAGCATATAAATATCATAAATAAATAAATAAATATTGTCTAGATCCAGGGAAGTCATGTTACCCCTCTATTCTGCCTTGGTTAGACCACACCTGGTATACTGTGTCCAATTCTGGGCACCACAATTGAAGGGAGATGTTGACAAGCTGGAATGTGTCCAAAGACCAAAATTGAAGGGAGATGTTGACAAGCTGGAATGTGTCCAGAGGAGGGTGACTAAAATGATCCAGGGTCTGGAGAACTAGCCCTATGAGGAGAGGCTTAAAGAGCTGGGCATGTTTAGCCTGAAGAAGAGAAGGCTGAGAGGAGATATGACAGCCATGTATAAATATGTGAGAGGAAGCCAGAGGGAAGAGGGAGCAAGTTTGTTTTCTGCTGCCCTGGAGACTAGGACTTGGAGCAATGACTTTAAACTAAAAGAAAGAAGATTCTGTCTGAACATTAGGAAGAACTTCCTGACTGTGAGAGCTGTTCAGCAGTGGAACTCTCTGCCCTGGAGTGTGGTGGAGACTCCTTCTTTGGAGGCTTTTAAACAGAGGCTGAATGGCCATCTGTCGGGGGTGCTTTGAATGCAATTTCCTTGCTTCTTGGAAGGGGGTTGGACTGGATGGCCCATGAGGTCTCTTCTATTTCTTTATTTTATTATTTATTTCCAGTATTTCTACCCCCGTCCTTCTCAACCCCCAAAGGGAGACTCAGGTCAGCTTATATTTGGCACAATTTGATGCCATTAAACAACAAAGCAATATAATAACAATTAAAACAATAAATAGAACATTAGTTAAAACAATAAAAACAGTATTAACCGCCATATCACCATTCCATCAAATTCCATATCCAAAGCGCTATTTATGCCTGCTGTCCAAAAGCCTGGCCCTAGAATCACGACTTCAATTTCTTCCTAAAATACAGGAGGGATTAAGCTGATCTTACCTTGTTGGTAAGCAAGTTCCACAGGGGGGGCTACAGCCGAGAAGGCCCTGTCTCTTGTCCCCGCCGCCAGATATATTTGCAACGCTGGCGGGAGCAAGAGCAGGGTGTCCCTGTATGATCTTAAACTGCAAGGCGGGATGTAGTGGGAGATGCATTCGGACAAGTAAGGTGGGCCAGAACTGCATAGAGCAGGGGTCCTCAAACTTTATAAACAGAGGACCAGGTCACAGTCCCTCAAACTGTTGGAGGGACGGATTATAATTTGAAAAAAACATGAATGAATTCCTATGCGCACTGCACACATCTTATTTGTTGTGCAAAAAACAGTTAAAAACAATACAATATTAAAATGAAGAACAATTTTAACAAATATAAACGTATTAGGGTATACATATTAATACGTATAAATGTATTAGGAGCCCCTGGTGGTGCAGTGGGTTAAAGCACTGAGCTGCTGAGCTTGTTGACCGAAAGGTCGCAGGTTCGATTCCGGGGAGCGGCGTGAGCTTCCGCTGTCAGCCCTAGCTTCTGCCAACCTAGCAGTTCGAAAACATGCAAATGTGAGTAGATCAATAGATACCGCTCCGGCGGGAAGGTAAGGGCGCTCCATGCAGTCATGCCGGCCACATGACCTTGGAGGTGTCTACGGACAACGCTGGCTCTTTGGCTTAGAAATGGAGATGAGCACCACACCCCAGAGTCAGACATGACTGGACTTAATATCAGGAGACAACCTTTATCTTTACTAAATGTATTAGTATTTCAATGGGAAGTGTGGGCCTGCTTTTGGCTAATGAGATAGGATTGTTGTTGTTATTGTCTGCTTTCAAGTCTGTTCAGACTTAGGTTGACCCTGAGCGAGGGCTGGGTAAATGTGCTGGTACAACTACACCAGGAGCTCCTATTTTGTTTGCTTTGCATTGAATGTTTGTTGTAGCCCTAAGTTTCAGGGACTCTGCAGATAGGTAACTTCTTTTGGCTGCAATCATAGGGCAAGCCACCTGTCAATTATAGTTAGGTTCCCTGGTCCCACCCCCTTTTTGGGTTTTGGAGGAATAGGAGCCATTTTGGGTTCAGTCCACACAGAGAAGCTTTCCATGCAGGACATAATACCAAGAGCTCCTGTAGAAAGCTTCGTCTTCTACAGCTTGGCCGGGGAGATATACAGCCCACAGCTTGGCCGGGGTTATACAGCCTTACAGCTCCTTTGCTGAAGGACTTCAGTCAGCCATCACTGAAACCTGAATTCTTTTCCCCTGGAAGTCTACAAAGCTCTGCTTGGTAAGGGTCACTCGCGGAAGCCAGAAGCAGTTGGTACCGGGTGCAGGGGCTCCACGCCAACAGAGGCAAAGACAGACTGCCCAGATTAGAAGTTAAGGATTTCCCCATTAGTTACAGTTATAAAGATAGTGCCTGTTCCCTGTGGACAAGATTGAGAGAGAGCCAATAGAAAGCCTTAAAGTACTTGTTTGTTTTCAATAATAAAGAACTTTGTTGAACCTTTAAGCAATCTAAAGTCTCTGTTTTAAGGAAATCCAAGGGCCTTTAATCTGAGGCAACCCCGGCGTCCCGTTGGGCACACGGAATGTATGTCCTGTCTACAGTCTTATGCACAGGCCCAGCATGCGACAGCACAGCAAATGACCTTGGAGGGCCGTATTTGGCCCCTGGGCATTAGTTTGAGGACCCCTGGCGTAGAGCTTTATAGGTCAAAAGCAGCACTTTGAATTAAATTCGGAAGTGGATTGACTGCCAGTGGAGGGGACACAACAAGGGGGTGGTGTGCTCCCTGTATGTCACTCCGGATGCCTGACCACCGTTGTCCAGATGCCTGACCACCGTCTCCCAAAGCAGTTGCTCTACTCTGAACTTAAGAACAGAAAACGGAATGTTGGTGGACAGGAAAAGAGATTTAAAGATGGCCTCAAAGCCAACCTTCAAAACTCTGGCATAGACACTGAGAACTGGGAAGCCCTGGCAGGGCCGTGGGGGGGGGGGGTTGAAAATTTCATGGGGGGGGGTTGAAACCTGCCTCCTAGCTCACGCTGAAGCAAAGAGCACAGCAGGGGGCAGAGCAGCCTTCAATAGCCTGCATCTCCGCCCCTGTCAACCACCTCCACCAAGTCTGGCCTCCTTAATGAGAGCATTCAACACCCCCCCCCCCCAACTTGGTTGCTTCACTACATCGGCTATTGCTGCAAGTAATGACAGTGTGAATAAATTGTCAATATTTGCTTGAGATAGTGCTTGCAGTTCTGGAGGGACTCTTAAGTTTTTGCATCTCATAGACTTAGCATGGGGATTTGGTTAACCAGTTAAAATTCATGAGTAAACCAGGTTTTTTTAAAAAAATCTGAAACATTGGGGGGGGTTGAACCCCTAAAACCACCCCCTTGCTACAGGCCTGAGCCCTGGCCCTTGACCGCTCCAGCTGGAGGTCAGCTGTGACCAGCAGTGCTGCAGAATTCGAGGAGGCACGAGTGGAGGGTGAAAGAGAGAAACGTGCCAGGAGGAAGCCAATGCCTTCACTGTGGGTGAAGATGCGGGTCAAGAATAGGGCTCCACAGCCACCTACAAACCCACAAAAATAGTAATCAAGGAAGACCATCTTACTCGTCCAACGAGGGATCGCCTAAGAGAGAGGGTATGTCACTCCAGTTAGTAATCTGGCTGCAGCCCCTTGGACTAGTTGAAGTTTCTGAACAATCTTCAAAGGCAGCCCCACATAGAGTGCGTTGTAGTAATCTATTCAGGATGTAACAAGAGCGTTTATGATTCTATCATTCTAAAGTGGCCCCTCTCCCAATTCTTGGCAGAGAAACTGATTGGTAGTTTAACAGGAGAGCTGGGAACGGGACAGCTGTTAAAGGTGCACCTAAAAGTCTAGCTGGAGGGCTCCTCCAATAGGATTCCGTCCTTGGCTTGAAGCATCCTCCTTCGACTTGGCGCGGGCCGCTCGGGCATCTGGAGGGGGAACCTGGCCGCTTCAGGTCTCTCTTGAAGCGCGAGGAGGGGACGGTGTGGGCGTGGCTTCGAGCGCGGAAAGCCCCTCGCTATTGGCTCCGGGCCGTGTCCATTTGGCTTGAGGGGCGGGAGGAAGCCAAAGTTGTGTAGAGGGGGGGGGGAATAGCGCGAGGAGGGGGCCGGGTTGCTGGCTGGCTGCCGCCTCAGCTGCTCCTGCGCGGTGGGCCAGCCCTCTTGACGGGATGCCGCCTCGCGGGGGGATGCTGCCTCTGCTGCTGCTGCTGCTGCTGCTGCGCTTGGTTCCGAGCCCCTCAGTCTGAAGGCGAGGCGCCGGCGAGAGGAGGCACAGGCAGGCAGGCAGCCCCAGCGCCCCGGGACTTGGGTGCTCTTTTGGACTCTCCTCCATCCGCCCGCTTCTCTTTCCGAGTCCGGCGCTCCTCATGGGCCAGTGAAGGCGGGCGGGGGTCTTGAAGGGAGGCCAGAGCGGGGAGGGGGGCGGATTAGCCCACAAGCGGAGGAGAAAAGGGGGCGAGCGGGGGGTCGGCCGGAGCCATGGAGACGACGACGAGGCGGAGGTGGTCCCCGAGGTGGAAGACGAAGCGGTGGACGCTCCTCTTGGCTTGGGGCGCGCTGCTCGTGCTCCAGGCGGAGCAGGTCCGAGGAGGTAAGGCGCTGCTCCCCAGGTCCCAGCCCTGCCGCTTCAGACCACCCTCCCGCAGCAGAGGCTCAGCTCCCTCTCCCAAGGCAGTGCTTATCTCTCCAGAGCACTCTGCGCGCGCTCTGGAGAACCCTTTCTCTCTCTCTCTGCTCTTTCTCTGACTTTCATAGTTTGGGGAGAGAAGGCAAAAGATCCTTGGCAAGTTACAACTCCCAGGATTACATAGCTTTGAGCTATGTCTTTGCAAGGGTTGTCAGATTCATTCATCCCATTTAGATGCAGCCACTGAAACTCTTTACAGTCTTGCTACAGGGATGTCATAATAATAGTAATATGAAACAATATAATAATAATAATAATGGGAAGTGTTCGACTTGTGATTTTGTGATACGAAATCCAGCATATAGATCTTGTTTGCTTTGACATATTGTGTTTTTGTGTGAGTTTTCCGGGCTGTCTGGCCATGTTCCAGAAGCATTCTCTCCTGACGTTTCGCCTGAATCTGTGGCAGGCATCCTCAGTGGTTGTGAGGTCTGTTGAACACTAGGCGTGGGGTTTATATTTATATAATATATATATATATATATATATATATATATATATATAATATTTTATATATAGATTTCATACTATATAAAATATAATATAAAATATTTATATAATATATATTATATTATATTTATATTATATATTATCTTATATTATATTTTATACTATATATAATGGATATATAAATATATATTATATTATATATTTAAATATACTTTGCATATTATATAATATATAATATATAATATATAATATGATGTATATAATATACTTTATATTATACTATATATAATGTGTTATATATATATATACTTTACATGGAGCGCCGTTACCTTCCCGCCGGAGTGGTACCTATTGATCTACTCACATTTGCATGTTTTTGAACTGCTAGGTTGGCAGAAGCTGGGGCTGATAGCAGGAGCTCACACTGCTCCCTGGATTTGAACCTGCAGCTTTTCAGTCAACAAGCTCAGAAGCTCAGTAGTTTAACCCACTGTGGTGCTGGGGGTTCCTGGTGCTCCCTGCAGTCATGCTGGCCACATGACCTTGGAGGTGTCTACGGTCAATGCCGGCTCTTCGACTTAGAAATGGAGATGAGCACCAACCCCCAGAGTCGAACACGACTGGACTTAATGACAGGGGAAAACCTTTACCTTTTACCTACCTATACTTTACATATTATATAGATAGATAAATACAATTTCTTTATATAATTTTTAATATAATAATAAAGCTGTATTTATATCCCGCCCCCTCTTCCCAAAGGGACTCCAGGCGGCTTACAGCACAAGAATTACATATTATATAGATAGATAAATACAATTTCTTTATATAATTTTAATATAATAATAAAGCTGTATTTATATCCTGCCCCCTCTTCCCAAAGGGACTCCAGGCGGCTTACAGCACGAGAAAACAATGCACTTGATCTCAATCACACTTCCAGTCAGAACATTAAGTCAAGCCAACAGATCCAAGGCAAATCACAGTAAATCAAAATAAAATCCAATATTCATAATGACTTACAAACTCATAGACATGTAGGTGGGATTCAGAGGCATTTTCACTCTACAGCAAATTACTCATTATACATTGTAGAGATGCACTCTATGATACCCAATAGAGGTACTTACAATCATGCTACAAGGATTTAAGGTGATGCATTTTCACTCTAGACCAGATATGGGCAAACTTCGGCCCTCCCTCCAGGTGTTTTGGACTTCAACTCCCACAATTCCTAACCGCCTCAGGGCCCTTCCTTTTCTGATGGGGTAAAGGAAAGGGACTGAGACTGTTAGGAATTGTGGGAGTTGAAGTCCAAAATACCTGGAGGGCTGAAGTTTGCCCATACCTGGACAAGAGTGAAAATGCATCACCTCAAACACCTGGAGGGAGGGCCGAAGTTTGTCCATGCCACAAATAGCTCTTGTGTTGTATTCCTTCTATAGTCTTGATGCACCAGCCTCTGCCTTGACCATTCACTTCCTCCAAGTTGTGGGGAATTGCTTTCAAGTAACCCCCCCCCCCCAGTCGAGGATGGGGGACTGGGAAGCCTCCTCCTTCCTCAGTTTTCTCTCCCAAAAGTGCCATCGAGCAAAGCGAGGAGTGGGTAGAGGCTGGCGCTGAACTTTGGGAAACAAAGCCACTTTTCTTTATGGGGCTGGGCTGCTTTTTCAGGAAGGGGGGGGAGATGAGAGAATTCCCCCCCCCCCATGTCCCTTGAACCAGATCAGATTCCCCAAATCCTGGCCCGAGAGGGGCATTCAAGGGGGACGGAGCGGCAGAGCTGTGTGTGGGTGTCAATAGCACTTTGTCAAGGAATAGAAGGAGGTGGAAACCAAATCAACACCAGAGAGGAGCCACACACACAAAAAAGTCAGATCTGCTACTTAGGCGGTTGAAAACTTTATTCATGGAGAGAAAATGGACGTGAGGGAAGTGGATCTCTTTTTGGAAAGATATATAGAGAGGGTGACAGGTTTCCTTGGTCCTTCGCACAGAGATCTATTCTTCAGTAAGGCATTCTGCCTGTGAAATAGACTCCTGCAGGTTCCCTATCCAGAGCAGTAGCTGTTCCTCTGTTCTACCACTTTTTTGCACTTTAGGTTTGCCCCAAATCCCCTCCAAGCAAAAGGGAGATGTAGTACCCCCCTCCCCTTTGATTGAATCCAGCTTACGTGGCAAGGCTGTGGCAGGAGAGCTGTGCACTGGAGAGGAGGTCTCTCCTCCCTTTCTCCTCCTCCTTAGGTGCATCCTTGGCCAGGCGGAGGAGGGAATGGTCCCTTAGGTGTCTGTGGGTACATGTGTTAGCAAGGTGCAGTCCCTGCCAGGAGGGAGACCAAGTGAAGGCTTTCCCTGCTTCAAAATCAGAATTCTGCCCATCCCAATGAAATGTCCCTTCAATATTTCACATTCCAGAGATCCCCAGATCTTTTCTATTTGCTGTTTTCATTTGACTTGCATGCCTCTTTTCTTTGGATGTCTCTGCTATGCTTCTGCTCAAGTATTAAGTCCTTGCAAGGCTGGAAATTTGGGGAGTGAAGGAAAGCTTAATTAGGGGAAGACAACACTCTCATTCTCCCCCTTAGCTACACTTCTTGACACTCTCCAAGTCTCCAAAGAGAAACGTTTCAAAGGAGCTTTATTGAAGGATAGGGGCTCAACTAGGAAGGAGTTTACAAGAGAGAATGTCTTCTTTTTCTGCATCCAGCAGTCAGTCCAGGCACCTGTGGCAGAATAGATTTTTTTTGTGTCAGGAGTGACTTGAGAAACTGCAAGTCGCTTCTGAGAGAATTGGCCGTCTGCAAGTACATTGCCCAGGAGACTGCAGGATGTTTTACCATCCTGTGCGAGGCTTCTCTCGTGTGCCTGCATGAGAAGCTGGAGCTGACAGACGGGAGCTCACCCCACTCCCTTGATTTGAACCACCAACCTTTTGGTCAGCAGTTCTGCCAGCACAAGGGTTTAACCCATTGTACTACCGGGGGCTCCTGCCCTTCAACAGACATATGGGGAGTCGCTGTGATAGGAGCCCGCTCTAGTTTGCTGCCTCAAAGATCAGACTATTTTGCACCTTGTGGAACTCCCCTCCCTTTTAGTTCTGGTGTGGCTTGGCTTTGTGCACAGTTTCCTTTCCCCAAGGAGTGGCACACTGGCCTTCTTCCTTGGGAACTTCTCACAAACCTGTTGAAGCTATTGGATGATACATCTTGTGGAGCTTGCATCCCTAAGGGCTGGTTTCAAGGAAATCTCTATTGTTACAACGTTCTTTTCTCTTTGAAAGCAGCCCTCGGTTGGTTTTGTGAGTCAGCAGGTTGGGTTCCCAGTCTAAATTTCCCATAGTCATGATTGGAGATCCAAAGGTGTGCCTGCTCTCGCTCTGAAAGAGAGCTCCCTTTCAGCCTCTGGGTTCCTGATCACCTCTTGGACTTGCGTGTCAGTCACACCCGCCTGTCTCTCTGCCCCCTGCTGGTTCCATTTGAAACCTAGATAGAGGAAAAAAACCTTCCGAATCTCCTTCCTTCCTTCTTCTGAGAGCCAAGAGGACATGTGAACACCGTGGCCATGACCTGACTTCATGTTAAGTGAAGCCATTTAAGAAGGGATTCTGTGCAGATGACCAGCATGGCTACTGTTTCTTTCACTTCCTCTTTCTTTCGTTCTTTGTATGTGGCTTTGAGACTTGGTTTTTTCTGGCTATCATTGTTGTCCCATATTCGAAATTGAAATTGTGCTGGATGTGAGGATTGTCTCCAACCGCATGCAAGTCCATTGGGAAGCATGTGTTAGGGGTTGTTTTCAACAGAATGAAAGTTGCTTTCTCCAAATGCTGCCAAGATGATTGAAAGTATGTTGGCACATTTTTGCCACATGGTGCCAATCTCTCAAATGCTGTGACCCTCTTAGGTATTTCAGCCTTGGAAGAATGTCCTCCTGGAACATGGACTGACATCCAAGTAGAGAATTCTGATGTCACACAATTTTGACAAATTCTGAACCCTCTTCCCATAAACATATTCATTCTTATGGAACACCCCCCCCCCCCCCCCCCCCCCGCACGACTTTCTGTTGTTGTTCTTCTCCTAGAAAAAGAGATTTTCTGAACTGTAGACAGTGCAACTAAGTTTCACCCAGGCCACTGTCCTCCAGATGTTTAGGCTACAGCACTAATCTGATGGGAGTTGTGATGCAACACAGCTGGAGAACACCACATTGGGGGAGGATTTGTCTTTAGCCATTTTAGTGGGCATTAAATCTTCTAAAGGCGTGGGTTGGCAGTTACGTATTTGTACTTGTGTTCCTTTGTTGTTATTAAGCCCTCAAAGATATAAATAAGATCAGAAACCTTGATTATTCAGGCAATGCAGAGAATTAAAAAAATACTTTACAGTACAGCATCTCTGTGTGTGCATGGGAAATATTCCTAGATTTTGCATGAATAAACAAAACCATGGATA